TCCTGAGGAGGACGGCAGGGGAGGGAGGCCACGGGTCCTGAGGAGGACGGCAGGGGAGGGAGGCCACGGGTCCTGAGGAGGACGGCAGGGGAGGGGGAGGGGCTGCCAACCTTTCTCCAGGGCAGCGCTTCAGGTCACGCCCACTCTGGGGAGAGCAGCGAGGCCTGGCGGGGCGGGAGCGGAGAAGGCAGCTCCACCAAACGCTGAGTCCCGGCGATGGTGGCTCCTTCTGGCTGCCGCAAGGTCTGAGCGCCAGCGGACGTGGGGCAGGGTGCTGGCAGAGTGGGTGGGACCCGCCTGCGGCCCCGTTTGCTTCTGTTGGGGGGCAGCTCCCGGAGGCCGGGCAGAGCAGCAGAGTGGGCCAGGAAAACCTCAGGGGCCTCTCCTGTTGGCCCGTCAGCCTGTCCATCTCTTGTGACCTTGGGGCGTGCTCTGAGGGGGGTCCCAGGCTGACTTGACAGAAGCCGAGGTGGGGACAACCCTGGTGCGTTCTGGGAGCCGGCAGCGCGTCTCCTGTAGCAGAGCGAGAGGGAGGAGCCCAGAGCATGCAGCAGGAGTCTCTGTTTCCTTCCGAATGCGTGGGATGCTGCACCATAGGACACCCCCGCCCAGACGTCTCCACTCTCTGTGGCATCCAGCCCGAGGCTCGGAAGTCAGCTTTCTGAGTTGGGGAGAGTTGGGAGGGTAGGAGGCCTCGGTCCCTCCTGGTCTGCTCGGTGCTGGGTTCAGGTGGTCAGGAACTTTCTCTGGGCGGAGGGTGCGTGTGGAGCCCATCCAGACGCACACAGAGGCATAAGCAGGTGTAGGAAGTCAGCCAGCGCCCCACTGGCCGTGACCAGCCCTCCTCGCTACCCACCGGGAGCAGAGTCATCCAGATCTCTGCCTCTGGGCACCGCTGTGCAAGGCCGGCACCCCTGCCAGGGAGCAGGAGGCAGAGGCAGGAGGGACAGAGCCCTGCAGGCTCCAGATGGCGGAATTCCTGGCTCTGAGACGGGAACATGGGGGCGCTTTGCATCAGCAGTGCCCAGAGCCCCCTCCGCAGCCCCGGGCTTGTGTGGAACCCATCTGTGAACTGGATGTGGAAGGAAGGTCCCCGAGTGCCCACGTTTACAGGGACCCTCGGAGACCCTCACTCAGACCTGGGAAGCGCATTGCTCACATGGCCTGGCCGCTCCCAGTGGGGAGGAGATGGAGAAGCCACAGACAGCATCCTGGGTGGGGTCTGTGGCGGTGACCCAGCAGACATGCAGGGAACAGCCCTGCCCGCGAAAGCAGATGCCGGGGCAGGTGGCAGTGCACCTCGAGGAGCCTCCTGGACGCGGTGGTGGGGAGGGCGAGGGTGCACGTCTCAGGCCAGTGTGCTTCCATGTCTTATCCCACGTCTGTGGGTTTGAGCTCGGTCTGGGGTGCCAGCTCCCACCAGGCCAGCCACCCCTTGGGGACTCACCCTGGGCTCTCCTGCCACTCAAGGTGGAGACTCTGGGACAGCCCTCCTCCACGTGAACAGACTGACCGAGACACCTCTCCACCACCTCCCTCACGCTGTGCCTGCTCAGCCCCCCTCCCCAGAGGCCACCCGCCCTGCGAAGCCCCTCCTGGCCCTTGGCAGCTGATGGGAGACTCCGGTGCTGCCAGAAGGCCCCTTCGCAAGTCTGTGGTTTGTGTGTAACCGCATTTTCCTTGGAAAAGTGTGGGGTAAAGAACGATATGGGGCTCCATAGGCAGCTGCCAGGTGGTGGTGGCCTCGCTCCTCCTGCTGCTGGTGGCCGCCACGGCCGCCTCAAGGGACAGCTGTCGGGCCTGTCTGCAGAAGCCCACCAGGAAGCACCCCCAGTGCTGGGCCTCGGCCAAGAGCACCGGCCTGGAAGGGGCAGGGCTGGGGGACAGCGGCATGAGGTCAGACATAGCGTGGGGTAGACCCCGCAGGCAGCCCACCATCCACAGCCTCCATGTTCTGTCTGCAAAATGGGGCCACAGTGGAGCCTGGGCAGAGGGGAAAGCTGCCCACCACCCCGAGGCCAGACCCCAGAGGGCAGGAGGCCAGCCAGTCCCACATACTCAGGCCCTCCCCAGCAGACCCTTCTTCCGGTGGGGCGCTGGGCCTGACTGGGTCCCCTCTGAACCTCTGCCGTCTCGTCGCTGAAGTTCGTAGGTTCTTGTTCTCAGGAACTGCGAGTTCAGGCACTACCAGCGGGACAGACAGAGGGACGGCTGGACGGCTGGACAGGCTGGAGGCCCCTGCCATGGGCACTCACCCCACAGGACAGAGGGACGGATGGACGGCTGGACAGGCTGGAGGCCCCTGCCATGGGCACTCACTCCACAGGACAGAGGGACGGATGGATGGCTGGACAGGCTGGAGGCCCCTGCCATGGGCACTCACCCCACAGGACGGAGGGACGGATGGACGGCTGGACAGGCTGGAGGTCCTCTGCCATGGGGCACTCACCCCGCAGGACGGACAGAAGGGTGGATGGACGGATGGACCGGATGGACAGGCTGGAGGCCCCTGCCATGGGGCACTAACCCCGCAGGACAGACAGAGGGA